AATCAAAATGGCAATTCTACCCAAATTAATCTACATGTTTAGTATAATTCCAATTAAAGTACCCTAAATATTCTTCATGGATCTAGATAAGACAATCATAGAATTTTTCTGTAATCATAAATGACCTTGTATTGCTAAAGCAATCCTGGGCAAGAAGAATGGAGTGGGAGGCATATTTCTTCCTGATCCCAAGATATACTATAAAGCTGTGATCATCAAAACAGCATGGCATTGGCACAAAAACAGATATATGGACCAATGGAATAGAATAGAGACCCCAGAAATAACTCTCAAAGCATGCAGCCAACTGATATTTGACAAAGGATATCAGTCAATCCATTGGGAAAAGGAAAACCTCTTTAGTAAGTGGTGCTGGAAAAACTGGGTATCCACCTGCAGGAAGAAGAAACTGAACCCCCATCTTTCACCATTAACAAAAGTCAACTCAAAATGGATCGAAGATCTGAACCTAAGTCCTCAAACAATAAACCTACTAGTGAAAAATGGTAGGGAAATTCTGGGAAACATTGAAGTAGGCAAAGACTCCTTAAAAAAGACTCCCAAAGCACAGGCAATAGCCCCTAAAATAGACAAGTGGAACTATATCAGACTAAAAAGTTTCTGCACAGCAAAGGACAGAGTAACAAGTGTGAATAGACAACCATCAGAATGGGAAAATATTTTTGTTAAATATGCCTCAAACAAGGAACTGATAACCAGAATACACAGGGAACTCAAGCACCTTACTCAAAACAAAACAAAACAAAACAAAACAAACAAACAAACAAAAAACATTAATCCAATTAAAAGATGGAAAAATGAGCTGAACAAAAATCTCTCTAAGGAAGACATACGAACAGTGCAAAAGCATATGAGGAAATGCTTAACTTCTCTCATCACAAAAGAGATGCAGATAAAAACTACAATGAGATACCTCCTAACCCCTGTCAGAATGGCAAAGATTAAAAATATAAAAAGTGAAAAGTATTGACAGAGATATGGTGAAAAGGGAACTCTCCTACACTGTTGGTGGGAACGTAAGCTTGTTTGGCCACTGTGGAGAAAAATATAGAGGTTCCTCAAAGATCTACAAATAGAACTACCATTTGATCCAGCAATCCCACTTCTGGATATCTACACAAAGGACAGGAGAATGCTCAGTCAGAAAAGTCCTTATATATCAATGTTTATTGCAGCATTATTCATGATTACCAAGACATGGGACCAACCCAAATGTCCACCAACAGATGAATGGATTGAAAAAGTGTGGCATATATACTCTATGGAATACTACTCAGCCATAAAAAACAACAAGACCCTGGCATTTGATAGAAAGTGGTTAGATATGGATGATCTATTGTTGAGTGAAGTAAGCCAGGATATGAATGAAAGATATTGTATGTATCCCACTTAATATATACTGACTATCCACACTCTATTCTAGAGATCAAAATATTAGAGGACATAAAAGCAGTGAAAATAGTTAATGAGGATAAGACAGTGTGGGATGGGTAGAATGGAGCGGGAGAAGAGAAGAGTGTAGAGAAAGATAGCAAGAGGACAAATAGACATTAAATCAGTAGGACACAGAGTTTATTACCTGTTCATATTGATGTGTGTCATATTCTCAACTGGGTTGGTCTGAGAAGTATTTCATGTTGGGTAAAGTCTTTTTACAAGTCAAATGATAAATAGTGATTGATTGTTTAAAAATATAATTGGAATATTAATAATAATAATGATTGGGTAAAATAATGAAAAGCTATTGGATGATGAAAGGGGAATTTTAATGTCTCTGTATTACTGATATGCATGGTATTCCTTCTGGAAGAAGAAATGTAATACACTGTAAAGTTATATGTGATTCAATTTAATATTAACAAGATTATGATGATAATAAATAAATTAATTAAAAAAGAACAGAAAACAAAAAAAAATGAACATTGAATTTTATCTTCTGAATTTAAATGGAGAGATCAGACCATGGCAGAAGATAAAGTACATGTTTGAACTGGTGAAATAGAATTGCATGACTTTTGACTAAAAATTGTATGACTTTTGATCTTCTAGTCTTTGTTTTCCGTTAAGGAGTTTTGTCTTTTTTCAAGTTGTGGGCAGGTCCATGTACTTACTATTCAAACAGAATCCTAACTTGTGTCCTAGCTTTAAGTATTAAGCAATGTTCTCTTAACATTTTTTGACTTTGATTTATTAAAGCTAAAACTGCCTTTCTTGAAATTAAAAAGTGTATTTAAAAAAAGAGTCATTTTATTTGACTTTATTTATTTTTATTATTTTACCATTTCTAGAGAGAGATGGACGAGGGTGGAGGGGGTGAGAAAGCAAGCCACCAGGTCCTGGACTCAAAACATGGTTGGCCATGTGGGAGTCCAGCACCCTTAACCGCTACATTACCTGCCAACTGTAGTCTTGCACATTTAAAGAGCCATTTGAAAATGTTATGAAAAATGTTACTTCCTTTACTTTGAGAAATAATAAAATATTCTTCAACTTAAAAAAAAATAGACTCCAAATTTTGACTTTTATTACTAGATGGAAAGATAACATTCACTGAGATGAAGATTAGGAAAAAAGCAAATGTGGAGGGTTAGGAATAAACTATTGGTTCTCAACCTAAAACAATTTTGCCCCAAGATACTTGACAATGACTAGAGATATTTTTGTTATCACAGTTGGAGGTGGAGTTTGGGAAGTGCTATTAGCATAAGGTGCATAGACTTTTGGCTTAGGATGCTGCCAAACATCCTACAATGCAGAGGATAGTCAACCACCACAAAGGATGATATTTGACTTCAACTGTCATTAGTGCTGGTTGAGGAGCCTTGGATTAGTCTTCTTTCTTGACTTTGGCCACTCTTAGAGTTTGCAGTAGGTTTCTCTCCTTTTTGTCTCTAATACCTTGAGATTCTGTTTTTAGCCCACTTCTCTCTTCTCTGCATTTTTTCTTGGGGTTTTCATCCATAGGCAGAGTGTTTAGTCTTAACTATTCTAACTTTAATGCACTCTCTCTTTCAATAGCCCTTTCACATCTTTTCATTAAGCTGCTGCTAAATCTAAATTTTCTGTCATTATCAGACGCATATTGCAAAAAGCCACAGGGTCATTTATTTCCCATTTGCCAAGTATCCAATTTGTGAAAAAGAATGTGCTGGGTACACGGAGGAAGGTAAAAATTGTAGAGATGAGAGAAAGTTAAGGTAGTCAGCGTTTCAAATGCACTATCTCTGATTACGGCAACAGTTTTGCAAGGAAAAATTTATTATGCCTCAGAAACCAAAGCTCCAAGAATTTAATTAATTACTTGAGAACAGAAGGCTTGTAAACAGCAGTATATTAACAGCTGGTTCTTTTTGGACATTAAGGATCAAAATCTCTCCAATAAATAAATAAATAAATAAATAAATAAATAAACAAACAAACAAAGAAATAAATAAAGGACAGAGCTGGAAAAGTGTGGTCTGGTTTCTCCATAGCCAGAGGGGTATGAATATGAATGGTATTCTAAAGAAGAAGGTATTTAAGTGTTCCAGAAGTCTTTTTTTTTTTTTTTTTTAAAGACAAGCTGCTCCTTCTTCTGCTAATTTACCATATATCATAGAATATAACAGAACATCAATAGTAAGATAAGCCATTATTTTTCACACTTCTAAGAAAGATAAAAAAGCTAAGAAAAGCAAGCCAGGCTAAGAAAGACAGACACTGTATGTCCCTGCTTTATGTATATATGTGTATACATACATACACACACACACACACACACACACACACACACATACTGAATGTACAAAGTGTATGGCAGAAACTGAAAGATGGGAAGGCACAATAGCAGATAGGGCAACTGTAATCACTAGAGACAGTATAGGAGTGGGTGGGTACCAGGTGGTGGAAGCGAGGGGATGGGGGAAAAATTTAACAGACACATGAATGAAAAGTTAACTGTTGATGAATATGTGTATGGTAATATCTTTTATTTGCTTGATATGCATTATGTCCATGCTGGAAAAAAAAAATCTGTATGCTGTAAAGACGCACAGCAATTAAATGAAAGTTAAGAAACGCAAGGAGTGGGTGGGTACCAGGTGGTGGAAGCGAGGGGATGGGGGAAAAATTTAACAGACACATGAATGAAAAGTTAACTGTTGATGAATATGTGTATGGTAATATCTTTTATTTGCTTGATATGCATTATGTCCATGCTGGAAAAAAAAAATCTGTATGCTGTAAAGACGCACAGCAATTAAATGAAAGTTAAGAAAAGCAAATAATAATACAAATTTTTAAAAAGGTAAGTGTTGGAAAGGATCTGAAAAAAAGAGGGAAAAAGTTGCAAATTCAGTACAGTATATCATCAGTTGTCAGATTTTAGAGATTTCCTAGATGCTGAAATGTGCAATATATATACATACATACATACACACACATATATATAGCAAACTGTAAAAGATAACAAATTTGTTAAAATATGAAGAAAAAGTAATCTTAGTTTCTCTGACATACAGTGGATTTATTTTCCACATTCAATTTTTATGGTAAGTATGATTGCACTATTCTGCACCTAGTCAATATATGTTTGTATATTGCTTTTTTAATGTCTTAGCTAGTTTTATGGTTCTGCCATATGCATCTGCAACTGGATTGCAAAGCTCTTTATTATTTTCTTTGGTGCTCATATCCCCACCCTGTGACCTTCCCATACATATATCCTTTTGCCATGCAGAGTTCACCACTAGAGATAAAGTAGAATTTCTTCTAATCTTATATAAAACTCTCCACAGATTTAGTTACACTTGAGGTGGTGGAGCATAATCGGAAACTATTGTATTAAAGATACGCATTGTTTTTTAAGATTCATCCTTGTAGAAAGGTTAAACTGGGTGGCTGGGGGAGGGTTAGAGGCGGAGAGGGGATATACGTCTCAGGATACAGGAAATACGGTAAGAGCGAAACTGGGAGGAAGCCAGCTCTGAGCCTGGAGAGGACCCGCCGCCATCTCAGGTCTCTTGGCCTTGCCAAGGTTCACGAGAGAAAACTGACGCCTGGGTCCCATAATCCTTATGGGGGACCAACCGTGTGCCTCTGGGAGATCTAAGCTCCCTCCTGGAAATTCGCGGGAAGTTAAGCCTCCAAAAAAGCGTTGTCTCCTCACTCCGCGGTGGGATTATCCCGAAGGAACTCCCAACGGAGGTAGTACCTCTCTCCCCTCCGCACCTCCTCCTGCATCAGCCGGCCTGAAGTCGCACCCTCCTCCTCCAGAGAAGTAGTGAAATAAACTTCGCTGGTCACCAGGTCAGATTCTTTGCCATCTGGGACATCCAGGCTCTCTGAAACTTAATTATACATTTTCCCTGGTCTCCTTACCTCGTTCTCTGTTCTTAGTTCCACAATTTTAAAATAGAAGAAAGAACATGCAGGCATCAAAGACCTTTTTCACAAAACATACTTGAATGAACTGATGAATATCGAATGACATTACATGATTATTTTAAAATTTTGAATGTGATAATTATGGTTATATTTTTTAAGAAATAGACTTGAATCTTGATTTGTTGGAGAGTAATTCAGTGCAGTCAAGGAAGGTGACAAAAAATGTTCATGGGTTGATTAAATTAAAGCTGGATGATGGATATGTGGGGATTTATTACAGTTTTCTCTACACTTTTGCCTATATTTGAAAACTTTCCATTTGAAAAATGCTTGTTCCAAGACCAATAATCAGAATATATTGAAGGCCTTTCTCCTACTTATAGCACTGTAATAGCAGAGGGAACTGTAAGGTGAGCCTTTAGAAGTGTATCTTTAACTGTTTAAGGTGAGAGAGTTTAATAAGTAGGAAAAAAAGTTATAATATGATGGTCCAACCCAAGTGCCATAATTTTTGCTTGTTCAAGATGTTCAGGTAGCATGGAGGATGGACCAAGTCATTCTGCTTATTAGTAATCATAAGCCTTAAAAGAGGAAGGGGAAACTTTGGGTGGGCCTTAATGGATGAGTGGCAGGGGCCCTATGGGTGGGGGAGGAACAATT